AGGTCACGTTTCACGCCACCCCAAAGCCTGGCTCCTGCTGACAGGGAGCTGACAGGGGTCATGGGGGGGGGAGGGGCTATGCATTCTGAGGAAGTACCAGGCATTTTCTGGGCCTCAGGGGGCATATGAGTCTGCCTGGGAAGTGGGGGCCAACCACCCCTTCCCANNNNGTGGGCAGGAGGGGGGCTCCTGCAATTATTGCAGTCAGGTGTCCAGGAACACCAGGAATTCCTGGGAACCTTGCAGGAGTTGGGAGAGACAGGGCAGAGGCTGTGCTGTGTTTAAGGACATTCCAGCACATTCCATGTCTGGAAAACTGCCTGTCACCCTTCTCTGTTTTTGCATAAAGTATCTATCCCTTAAAGTAGATCCAGGGACGGACAACCTAACATATGACAAAAAATGTCTTTTTTTTCTTTAGTAAATTATGCTAGGGATTCCTTCAATTCATATATATATGTGTGTGTGTATATATATATATATATATCTATTTTTTGCAAGTCACATCTGAGAGGTCAGCTTCTGCCCTTCCTCTGCCCACTTCCCCAACTGTGGGATGGCCTGCCTGGACGGTGCACTCAGGGTGGGGACCCTGTTCTCGCCGCCGTGGTCCTTTGAGAGACCCACATGTTTATTTCATGGAAGACGGAGTTGGTTACTTCAGGAAGCTCTTTGTGGAGAACATGGTAGGCACCTTCGTAAATCTGCAATTAGGAGAGACAGGAAATCAAGGCGACGGGAAGCTGCAGGTGCAGGGAGGGAGGCCACAGGTAGCAGCCAGAGTCCCCCAGACTCTCCCCATGCCCCCAGGACTCTTGTCTTTATGGTGCCAATGCCTTTTGATCAGATGATGGTTGAAATAACATGTCTCAACGCGGTTCCAGCGCTTCCTTTCTTAAATCAACACTCACCTTCCCTTTGTTCCGCTTCTCCCTCCAGCTGTGGGCCTGGCTGGTGCCTCCATCTCAAGGCCATAATTCCCATTTCCTGTCTTCACTCACTCCCCTTCCCCTCGGACCTCAGCGACCCCAGTCTACTGTCACTCCCACCAACCCACAGCAACTGTTCTTGGCATGGGCTCCAATGACCTTCAGTCTCCGTAGCCAGGGGACACTTGCTCTTACATTATTTGCCTTCTTAGCATCATTCGGAAGCTGGTAACCTTCTAGAAATACTTTCCTCTTAGGGTTTCTTTCAATTCTTCCCTCAAATTTCCAATGGACTCTCTAATGGGTATCTCAAAATGGAACTCCCTATATCCCCTACCTCAGGGCAGGGGTCATAGTCTTCTCACTGGTGCAGGCCTAAGCTCGGGATTCATCTTTAATCACTTGATCACTACGGTCACGCTCTCTCCCGGTCCTGCCAGGCTGTCCCCTGCCTTCACTACCTCCACCTCACGCCAAGCTCCTCCCCTTGGCCTGGGTGGCACCACCATCTTCCCACCCAGTGTTCCTGCCTCCACTCTTGCCTCCACATGGCAGCTGAGAGAGGCTTTGAGAACCGGAGTGGAAGCACGTTGCTGCCCAGCTCAGAGCGCTCTGGTGGCTTCACTGCACTAAGAGAGAGTCCGAGCTCCTCCTCTGCTGCCAGGTCCCCGTCACATGCCACCGTCCCCCTCTCGGGTCTCCTGGTGGCTTACATACGCCAATATTTCTGCCACTCAGGTCTTTGCAGCTGCCCTTGCCTTGGTCTGGAATGTACTTCCACCGCTCTGGTCACTGTCAGCACCTAGGCTTGCCCGCCCATCTGAAGTAGGTGCTTCACCCCTTCCCTGGCCTCTCTGTCCCCACTCTCTGCCTAATTTCCTTCAGGACACTGACCCTCTTCATCATTGTCATCCTGTCTGGCTGTTTGTTTGTAGCTCTTCCACCAGTTCAGACTGTGCGAGAGGGTGAAGACTTTTCCTGTCTTGTTCTCTGGGCCTGGCACAAAGTCAGTGCCCAGTGAGTGAACACTTGGATTAAAGAAGAAATGAATGAATGGAGAGTGAACGAATGAATGAGCGCTCTACACGGCCTCCTCTCACGGGTCACCAAGGTTCCTTTCCGGCAAAGGCCATGATCTGCGCGGTGCCTTCACCCAGACTGCAGAGTGTCCGCGGCACTGTACACTCTCCAGCATTTTAAGGGCCAGTTTTCCACTTTCTCCTTTCTGTTCATCCACGAGTCTACATCTGGTAGTTGGTGTGGGCCAGGGTCTGCAATCATAATGGTGTGAGGGGAGCACTTGCCAGTTTGCAAAGGCGTGAGAGCCTCTGCCAGTGCAGCATGGAATGGAGAGGGTCAGTGCGCTCGGGTCAGAGGGTGTGAGTTTGAATTCTGACCCTACCGCTCAGTAAGTGTGGGATCTGCAGCAAGTTGCTGTTCTCTTTATAACTTAGCAGGAAATGGCCCTGTTTTTTACAGTGTCTGTTGCACAGGCTGTAATGGCACAGCTTGAGGACACATATCCATCCATTTATCAGTATACTGGGGCTGTGATCTGCCCAGTTGACCACAGATAGATGCCTTCAGGGTCAATGGTCACTTGACATGTATACAGTAGGTGCTTCGCCTCTCCCCATGCCCCCCTCCAGCTGGGGCTCTTCCCCCAGTTCAGTTAGACAAACAAAAACAGGGAAGTCTGGACCCTCCAAACCACATTTTCCATCTCTAAAGGCCCTCCAAGTTAGTTCATTGTGGTCTGTGTGTCTGACAGGCCATGTGGCTAAGACATAGGTCCCATCCCCTCTTGCAAATTTCCTTGTAGTCCAGACCCTGCCATGTCCCACTGCACTGCTACCCCCAGAGCCACTGGCAGTGTGGCTGGTCCCAAGCTGCTGCAGAAAACAAACCTGCAGAGAGGCTGGGCAGCAGCATGCCTTTGGACCTTGGACATGGAAAAGCGGGAGACATGCTCTTGGATACACTTCTTTGCCCAGTGCCCAGTTGCGGATTTTTTCCTTGACCAGGACATTTTCTGAGTGTTCTCTCCATGAACAAACAATTGGCTAATGGCTCGTGTTCTTGCTTAGAATTAACAACTGCCTTGCATTCCTGGTACTTATTTCTCAATGGGGCCAGGTTGGCCCCATCCCAAGATGCTTCTCCTGGGGGAAGCCTTGGGGGTTCTGGGCAGATGTGGCCAAAGGGATGCCACCCTTCCCACCCTGGGGAACTGAGGGGGTCAGGTGTTCACCTTGAGTGTCTTGTCCTGGCTTTTGGCGGACTCCATGAGCAAGTAGGCTCCTTTGCTGTCGCACAGGCGGTCAGCAGAGCCCTGGAGCAGCAGGAAGGGCAAGGTCAGCTTGGGGAGGGCCCGCTCCACCCTTGAGACAGCATTGAGCAACTGGATGCCAAAGCACACTTTCAGTCCTGCCCGGCAGATGAGTGGGTCCGTGTTATAAAGATCCACCTGAAGGCAAAAAAGAGAGGGTTCTATCAGTTCATGGCCTGCAGAGCTGATTCCATTCAGTCAACTCAGTCTGGGGTGCAGCTGCCAAGAGCCAGCAGTATGGCCAGCCCTTCCATGACCCAGACCTGCACTACTTTTTTTTTGTTAATATATTTTTATTGATTTCAGAGAAAGGAAGGGAGAGGGAGAGCAAGAGAGATTGAAACACCAATGATGAGAGAGTCATTGATCGGCTGCCTCCTGCACCCCCCAACGGGGACTGAGCCTGCAATCCAGGCACGCACCCTGGGGAATCAAACTGTGATCTCCCGGATCAAAGGTTGATGCTCAACTGCTGAGCCACACTGGCCAGGCCCTGCACTACTTTTGATGCCTCTCTTCACAGGCTTTGTTCTATGCATTCTGCAATCATACAAGTATTAAGGTATATATTTTTATATAGGCAGCATTGGATTGCTTAAGGATTATTTTACTCAGGAATAGCTCTGAAGATACTTTGGTGTTAGTAGTTGTGTGGATTTTGCTTTCTCTAAGCCTCTCTTCCCTTACTTAGTGTCCATCTGGTAGAAGTGGGTGAGGGGCACATACAAAATGCAGGGGCAATGGGGGCGCTGGTGGAAGGTGTGGGGCTGGTTGGAGGAGCCCGAGGCACTTTGGCAGGGCACCACCCCATGGGTTTCCGGAAGAGCCGTTCCAGGGCAGGTCTGCGCTGTGGTGGGCTCTAGTCTCCATGTTCTTTGGGCTGTAGAAGGCTGCCTGCCACCCTGACAGGGACGCCTGCTGCTTCTCCAGGGGACATTCCCAGAGGCTGGGTTCTCCCTCCTCAGTCATCAGATTGCCCAGGACCTAACTCTGACACTCTCCTTACTTATGGCTCAGAATCTGACTCAGCCTTTCACGGGGCCACCCTGACACCCTGTCCTTGTCCTCCCTGGCTTCAATTCTCCTCTACGGGAACACTGAGTTGCCTGCTCACTGTGGCTCCAGATGGGGCATGGCCCCCATGAAATCTGGGTAAGTTTCTATGAGTAGGTATGAGAACATATGGGTAGGTGTGAGACCATAACATCTCTTATCTCATTTCCTTCATCCCTGCCAGTGGGTTCTTGGCTGGTTGGAGAAGTGCCACATGGTGTCGGTATTGGGTAAGGGAGCAGAGGGGCTATGGGGACAAGGAACGCAGGGACAGCTGGAAGGAAACGTGCTTCCAGCTGCCCTGTGAGGCTGCCAGAGTGTCCGCTGTGTTCCAACCTGACTCTACAAGGGCGGGGGCCACACCTCTCTTCTGCTACCACCCCTACAGGCCTCAGCTCGAATTCTGGATCTATGCCAAGAGGGGACAGGCTATTCTGGGTCACTCCTGCCATCCCCGATTCCTCCCATGCTGGGGAGAGAGCAGGCAAAGCAGACCTTTGTGGAAAGCCACATGAGACGGATTAGCCACTTCCTGCAGCTGAGTTGGCCTGAATCCTGCAGGCTCAGGCCATTTGTTTGGGGGCTGAGAGGACAAGAGACTGGCAGGGGTAGTGCACAGGCAGTGCATGGCCAGAGCAGTTGCCTGTCCAGAGGCTGCAAGGAGCCCTGTTTGGAAGGAGAGCCCTGGGCTTGGAGTGTGTGGAGAGCTGAGGCTAACGAGAGCAATGGCACCTGCAGCACCCCGACTGGACGCGTACCCAGCACAGTGCCCAGGCATCGCGTGCAAGATCTCACTCAGTGAAAAGAAAAAAGAGTAGCTAACACTTCTGAGCTCTTTCCTCCCATGCGAGCGCACCACATGTTTAACCTGATTAACCTTCAGAAGCACCCTGTCTGAGGGATGGCTCTCATTTATCTCTATTTTGCGGAGGAAAAATAGGGATAAATGCCTACTCTTCATTACTCAGTTCCTGTTCCCCCACAGAACCCTGAGTGTTTCATTTGGACACAAGCACCCAGAACAAAGACCGCATTCCCAGCCTCCCTTGCAGTGAGGTGTGGCCACGTGGCCATGTCCTGGCCAACGGGAGAGGAGAGGCAGTGCTGTGTGCACCTCTTGCCAAGGCCGGTCTTATTTCCCCCCTCCCACCTACCAGGACACAAGCAGAGTAAGGAGGGAGCTGGGCCCCAGGGATGAGAGCCACACCCCAGAAACAAAGAGCAACAAGATGCACTGGAGCACGTGGGGCTGGTGACACTGAGAAGTCCCTGTGCAGAGAAACAAGCTTCTCCCCTGTTTAAGCCCCTGTTGGAGTCTGGGTCTCTGCAGGCTGGCAACTATTCAATGCTGCTGGACCCTGGTTGCAGGGGACGTGTCCTATGAGCACACAGGGCCAGAGCCCATAGGACCACTGCCTTCCTCAAATGGCCTGTCGTCTTTCCCTGCTGACCCAAGACATCCCGGCCACATGAGGCCCCTGGGGAGTCTGTTCTCGGGTCTAATTGCTCCGATGGCCCAAGTGGCTTCCCGCTCTTGGCTTCATTTCCCATGTCTTGATCACGTAGGCCCTGTTTACATAATGGCTGATTCCGGGCCTGGGGAAGGAGCTGCCAGATATGTCGGGGAAAGGGCAGGCCCCTGGTGTGAGCTAAGCTGGGACAAGGCGAGGGGCAGAGGGAAAGTGGGGTTTGGAGCAAAATGGAGGGCCATACCTCAGGGGGAAACTGAGGCTCAGATAGCCCAAACCCTCTGCTCAAGTAACCATTCTGGTCCAATTACAGCAGCCTTTGTTTTTTTAAGAGCTTAAGATCTAAAATCACCAAAAGTCCTATTTGTGACGTGAGAACGTATCCTGTCACCCCCAGGAAAGAGGCGGACAGGGCTATCCCTCCTAAACCAGACCAACACCAAAGCACTGGTCATCAGAGCAAGCCCATTCAAAACCAAAGATGCAAACGTCAGTCCCAAAAGATGGCTTTGTGGATGATTCCATTTCTATGACATTCTTGAAATGACAAAATTAGAGAAATGTAGAATAGAAACGAGGTTGCCAGGGGTGGGTAGGAGGAAGTGGGTGTTCTACACAGGGGCTTGTGACAATAGGATGCTCTGTGGTTTGACTGTACCGGTATCAGCTTCCTGGCTGTGATGTTGTCTTAGAGTTTTGCAAGATGCCAGCATCAAGGAGAACTGGGTCCATGAGATTCCTCTCTCTTATTTCTCACAACTACATGTGAAATACTATTACATCAAAACATGTAACATATAACAAAGACCCAGTCTTTGGCACTGTCTCTCGCACCCCAATCCCCCTTTTTCTTTTTTATGCCAGCTGAGAATGAGTCAGCTAGGGACATGTCAGCCGGAGGCTGTGGGTCCAGGTTGAAGTGACCACATCTTTGCTTCAGATGACTGACCTGGGGGTGCTGCCACTGGCTGAGATTTGAAGGATTTTTCTTGGGAGGGAGACCAGAGGAGTGAGGAGCACCCAGCCCCGACAGTTCCCAGAGTGATCTGGGCAGGGCTCTTCTCTCCTAGACTCAGTTTGCTGATTTGCGAAATGGGAGTGACAGTGGAAATGCCTCAGAGGACTCTAGGGAGAGTCAATGAGATGATTCAGACACAGTGCCAAGCCCAGGGTCTGGCCCCATAGCGAGGTTGATGTCTGGGGTGCATCTGAATCTGACACCGGGCACAAGGGGAGCAAGGCCGCTCCACACTGAAGGCCTCTCTGCCTCAGAGACCTTGGGCCACATAACCTTAGATGAAGCCTTACTCCTTCCAGGGCTCAGCTTTCCCACTGAGGGGATCTGGAAGGTTCCTCTCAGGTTTTAAGTTTCACAGGCTGTGAATATTTTCCCGGCCTCCTATGCGGATGGTAGCGCTCCTCCAGTGCCTTCACTGGTTTCTGGGGCTCTGAGAGCTCTCAGCAAGGTTGAACTTGCCAGCCAGGAATATGCCAACTGGGGCTTCTGACTTTTGAACACTGTCTCTCTGTGGAGAAGAAACTTTGCCCTAAAGCACAGTAAATAGAGTTATAATCTACAGCTGGGAGTTTTCTTAAAGTTGCAAAATCTAGCACCACCCCTACAGTCAAATCCCTTGACCTATTTTTAAAAAATCTGTTCCGTGATGGAATGCAAAATTACATTTTTAATTAAAATTATATTTAAAATAACGAACACACTGAGCCCTTAATTCTGTACCAGGTGCTGTGTTGAGCACTTTACTTGCACTCGCATGTTGAATAAGGCTTCACAGGAACCCAGTCTAGGGACTATTGTTATTTTCACCATTTCATACTTGAGAAGAGAGGCTCAGAGAGGCTAGGTGACCCACTCGAGATTACACAGCAAGTAAGGGGAGGGGCTAGGATAAGAACCTAGGCAGTTGGAGTCCACCGACAGCATTCGTTACCACTGGCCATGCTGCGCTACGTATCTAGAGGAGAGAGAGTAAAGGCGTCCTGTGGACTCATAGGAGCTGTGGAGGTGACACTACTCAGATAAGAAAGGGGTGGGTCCCTGGTGAGCACCAAAACATCTAGGCCTGACAGTGAAATGACTCGGTGGGTCCCACAGGTTGCCACCCTTCACAGAAGGGGATGGGGCATCCTACTCGACACAGACAGGGGTGCGCTCTTCTCACACGACATTGTTTACCATTCACCGAGAAATATAGCCCAGCAGGTCTAATCTCCNGGGGATGGGGCGTCCTACTCGACACAGACAGGGGTGCGCTCTTCTCACACGACATTGTTTACCATTCACCGAGAAATATAGCCCAGCAGGTCTAATCTCCTGCAGCTTCCCTTCAGGTACCTAGATGGATCTACAACTGGTTTTTCCTGACCCTCCTTCCCTCCAATACCCTCCCTTTTCCTATGGAAGCCTCACTCTTCCACCTGTGCTTTGGAGCCCATCCCAGGACTCCCATCTTCCTCGGTTGTTTAGATCTTTCTTAATCCACCTATCTTATCACAGGGAAGTCAGATAGCCTCCTCTGGCATCGTGGAGAGAGCGCACAACAAATCTACCCAAGTGATCTCTGAAGTCTAGAAACCAGTAGGAACCTTACCATGAAT